GGAAGAAGGGAGCGGCAGAAAGAATGCAACGGTGGAATTGAAGAAGGCCGAGGCCCAAGACGCCGACTTCGAGCATGGCGACGTCCTTCGCACCGCGAGCCCTGGTGGCCGCCTTGGGGCGGAGGACCCCCTGATTCTTTCCCAGACATGCTCGCGCCGTGCAAGACTGAGGATGCGGGGTGTTTGGCTGGCGTCGGCCTCTGTTGGCCCGTACCGGGCCCCGGGCCGTCAAACAATTTTGCAGGGTGAAAACGGGTCCTGAGGAAAGGCTCGGTGTCGACTTAATCCACCTCGGGGCCGGGATGCGGGTGCCTGGGACCAGCGTTGACGGGGGTCAGCCAGGCACCTCCGATCACCCCTGGCTGACCCCGGATTGGTAGCCAGGTGGAGCAGACCGCGCTTCCCCTCCCTCCGTTGACCCAGGTTTGGGAGCAACTTCATATCGTTCCTTGGTTTCGGATGCAACTCCTGGAAGGTCAAACTCTGACTTTGCCATGGTCCGACATCTGGCTTAATCTCGCTGAGTCCAGCTTAATCCCGCTCTACGCCGCTTTATCCGCACCCTAGTCCTTCCGACGAAGACCTCCCAGCTGTTGCTTCCAAACTGGGTTCCAGGCATGGCCCTGTTGACCCGGGTTAGCGCTGCCCCGGCTTCGCGCGTCCACGATTGGGTGCTCAACGGCCGCGGTTTGAGCGGGCGTCGTAATGCTTGAGGCCGCCAAGCCTTTAGGTGCGCCAGGGCGACAAATCGGGGGCCCTCCGGGTCGGCCATCGGACGAGCCACCCGAAGCTGTGTTGAGAAGCCCAGTCATCCAGTGGGTACGTCTGGTTCGTCATGCAAGCTCGAGGGTGTTTTCAAGGGAGTTCCCAGGCGTGAGATCCGAGTCGGTGGCGTGGCGGCGTTCCACCCGTCCAGGGTTCGAGCGTCGTCTTGCAGCAGCGCTTTGGGCCCCGATTACGACCTCCTGGCCAGGCTTGCACTGGCTCTGTCTCTCACTACTCAATGGCTCACGCCGCACCGCCGACCCCTTGGGCCATTGGGATCCCCCTGGATCTCTTCTCGGGGGCGTTGTCGTAGGAGCGTCTTGGCTCCGTGCGTCCTTCTGGGGAAACCTAAAGACGTGTTCGAGAGGACCCCTTGTGGTTCGTCTTGATAACTTCCTTGGGGGCCTCGTGGGGCTCTCGTGGGGGCAAGTTGGGGGTCTTGGGGGACATCTCTTGTGGGAGAGACGCCCCCTGGGGACCCTTCGAGTTCCCCCCTCTTGGGCTCCTCCCGGGGCCCTTTTGGGCCGTCTCGAGGCGATCTCGGTTACCCTCCTAGGCTGTCATTGGGCCGTCTTCTGGGCGGCCTTGGGTGCGTCTTCGTCAAATTGGCAGAACGATGTTTCACGGACATCAGATAGGGTTGCCTCTTGGACGCCTGTTGGAGGTCCTCTAGGGTCCCTCTTGTGCCGTCTCGGGAGCCTCTGGGGCTGTCTTGAGGCCATCTGGGGCCCTCTCGGAGCGCCTTGGAGCTCTTCACCACCCACCAAACCATCCCAACCCAACCCGAAGGCCTCAGTTTGTCCTCCATTTCCAGTGGGGGGGGGGTCGGGGAACATGGAAAAAACACGTGGAACCCGTACTCCCCCCACCCGACATTCGGGTCAAATTCGGATCTTCGGGTTGGGTTGCGGTGGTCTGGTATGTAGTTAGCTCTTCAGGGTCACACGAGTTCAACGAGGCCGTTGATTGGGACCCCCCCTTCAGACTGGCCCGGCCAGGTTTCGAGGGAGGGGACGGTCAAACATCCGCCCCGCCGAGGAACCCCTCAAAGTTGTCGGCGACTTGTTGCCCTTCTGCTCTACATGTTGCCCAGCTTGTTTTCTGAGTTCGCGGCTTGCCAGTGTGTCGACTCCACTTCCCGGAGCGCCCTGACGGGGCCCACTCGGGCCGCACGAGAGGGGTGGAAATGGGAGAGGCGGGGAGGTGTACGAGGTCTGCTGCCTGCAGCTGGTTCCAGCTTCGCCGCGGGGCCCTCTCCTCGAGACCTGGCCGCCGCTTCCATCGTCCCCTGTGCAATGCCCCCCCTTCCCCCCCTCGGTCGCCCAGACCCGCGGCCTTCCGAGCGCTCACGGTCCGTCCGCTGGATTTGCGACCAATTCTCCTCGAGGGCCCGCTGGCTTTCTCGTCATCTCGTGTGCGCATCCGCTTTCCGCTGCGCCCGCCAGGCGCAATGTGTTCGCTTCAGGCCGAAGTCGGCTTTCTTTGTTCCCCACATCCTAAGTGGGGTTCTTGTTTTCTCTGCACACCCTCCGCGCAGGATCTCTCCTCCTCCTCCTCCCTCTCCTCTGCTCCTCTTTGCTTCCTCCTCCGCATCATCATCACCATCACCATCACTCCCCACTCATCATCATCATCACCATCAGCATCACCATCACCATCCCACGATCACTCACCATCATCGGCATCGAACGATCATCATCATCATCATCATCATCATCATCATCATCATCATCATCATCATCATCATCATCACTACTCGCTGACTTGAGGCCTGAATATGGAGGAAGTATCAGGCGGGACCCTCGCATGTGAGTGAATTGTGAGGAAGTCTCAGGCGGGAGCCCCCTCCCTATGGGGCCCGCACTTCATGTTCGAATCTGAGCGGGTCATCCGCAACGTGCAACTGTCGTCACTTTTGGGCTCTTGAGACTTGAAAATGGAGGAAGTCTCGAGCGGGAGCCTCGTCTGTGAGTGAATTGCGAGGAAGTCTCAGGCGGGAGCCCCCTCCCTATGGGGCCCGCACTTCATGTTCGAATCCGAGCGGGTATTAATCCGAGCGGGTCATCCGCAACGTGTAGCTGTCGTCACTTTTGGGCTCTTGAGACCTGAATATGGAGGAAGTCTCGAGCGGGAGCCTCGTCTGTGAGTGAAGTGTGAGGAAGTCTTAGGCGGGAGCCCCCTCCCTATGGGGCCCGCACTTCATGTTCGAATCCGACCGGGTCATCCGCAACGTGTAACTGTCGTCATTTTTGGGCTCTTGAGGCCTGAATATGGAGGAAGTATCAGGCGGGAGCCTCGTCTGTGAGTGAATTGTGAGGAAGTCTCAGGCGGGAGCCCCCTCTCTATGGGGCCCGCACTTCATGTTTGAATCCGAGCAGGTCGTCCGCAACGTGTAGCTGTCGTCACAGTTGGGCTCTTGAGACCTGAATATGGAGGAAGTATCAGGCGGGAGCCTCGTCTGTGAGTGAATTGTGAGGAAGTCTCAGGCGGGAGCCCCCTTCCTATCGGGCCCGCACTTCATGTTCGAATCCGAGCGGGTCATCCGCAACGTGCAACTGTCGTCACTTTTGCGCTCTTGAGACTTGAATATGGAGGAAGTCTCGAGCGGGAGCCTCGTCTGTGAGTGAATTGCGAGGAAGTCTCAAGCGGGAGCCCCCTCCCGATGGGGCCCGCAGTTCATGTTTGAATCCGAGCGGATTATCCGCAACGTGCATTTGTCGTCACTTTTGGGCTCTTGAGACCTGAATATGGAGGAAGTATCAACCGGGAGCCTCGTCTGTGAGTGAAGTGTGAGGAAGTCTCAGGCGGGAGCCCCCTCCCTATGGGGCCCGCACTTCATGTTCGAATCCGAGCGGGTCATCCGCAACGTGTAACTGTCGTCATTTTTGGGCTCTTGAGGCCTGAATATGGCGGAATTATCAGGCGGGAGCCTCGTCTGTGAGTGAAGTGTGAGGAAGTCTCAGGCGGGAGCCCCCTCCCTATGGGGCCCGCACTTCATGTTCGAATCCGACCGGGTCATCCGCAACGTGTAACTGTCGTCATTTTGGGGCTCCTGAGACATCAATATGGAGGAAGGCTTTGAGCGGGAGCCTCGTCTGTGAGTGAATTGCGAGGAAGTCTCAGGCGGGAGCCCCCTCCCTATGGGGCCCGCAGATCTTGTTATTAATCCGAGCGGGTCATCGGAAACCTATAACTGTCATCACGTTTGGGCTCCTGAGGCCTGAGTATGGGGAAAGTATCAGGCGGGAGCTTCGTTTGTGAGTGAATGGCGAGGAAGTCTCAGGCGGGAGCCCCCTCTGTTATTAATCCGAGCGGGTCATCGGAAACCTATAACTGTCATCACGCTTGGGCTCCTGAGGCCTGAGTATGGGGAAAGTATCAGGCGGGAGCTTCGTTTGTGAGTGAATGGCGAGGAAGTCTCAGGCGGGAGCCCCCTCCCTATGGGACCCGCACTTCATGTTCGAATCCGAGCAGGTCGTCCGCAACGTGTAGCTGTCGTCACAGTTGGGCTCTTGAGACCTGAATATGGAGGAAGTATCAGGCGGGAGCCTCGTCTGTGAGTGAATTGTGAGGAAGTCTCAGGCGGGAACCCCCTCCCTATCTCCCCTATGCGGCCCGCAGATCATGTTATGAACCCGAGCGGGTCATCGGAGGAGGAGGAGGAGGAGGAGGAGGAGAAAGAGGAGGAGGAAGAGAAATAGAAAGGGGAAGGGAGGACAGTGCAGGGGGCGAGAGGAGAGGGTGTCCGCCAGGAGGAAGAGGAAAGGGCAAAGGGTGAGCTAAACAGATTCTCATGTGGGGTCCTACCGTCGGAGTAATTTTTCACGCCACAGTGACGCAGCGATTACTCGATCCATGTCCGGGCAACATTTTTCCACTTCTGGAGCGGATCTTTGGCGGACAGGGTCGCCCCCTCCCCGCGGTTCCTTCCACAAGGTTTCTCACGAGCTGCCGTGTTTGGCCGCCCCCCCCCCGCCCCTCACCCTCCCCGCGCTCGCCCCAGGAAGCAGATCGGCAGGGACTTCTGCCCGCAGTCGTGCGGGCAGTGCCCCAAGGAGCCCGGGGTGGCGGATGTCAGGAGGAGACAAGTGGCCAGGGATGGCCGGCGCGAAGGGTAACGAGCGGAAGGGGAGGCACGGAGAAGTGGGGGGGAGGAGGACAGGGAGGAGGAGGAGGCCGGGGATGAGGAGGAGGACGATGAGGAGGACAGGGGAGAAGGAGAAGGAGGAGAAGGAGGAGGAGGGGAAAGGAACGGAAGAAGGAGGAGGAGACGGACGAGCAGGAGAGCAGGAGGATGAGGATATTGGTGATGATGGTGATGATGTGATGATGGTGATGATCATGGTGATGATGATGACATTGGTTATGACAAGAAGGGGGAGGAGCAGCAGGAGGAGGGATAGGGGAGGAGGGGAGGAGGGGGGCAGAGTCTACAGAAAGGAGGGGAGGGAGGCGGCATGAAAAGGGGTTGGGCAGGCGGAGATGGGGGGAAGACGACGACACGGAGAAGGGGGGAACATTTCGAGCGTGGGGGGAACCGATTGGAATGAATCCCATCGCGGTGCGATGCGAAACGAAGTGAACTATGAGGGTTCAGCTCGGTTCGACTACACCTGATCCTGGGGCCACTGCCCAGTCCTGACATCTGCAGAGATATCTCCTGCGGGTGGCACTCAGCGGCGACGTGCAGGGGTCAGCCAACGTCTTGCGAAGCTGCTCGGTGCCGAAGTGGATGTGGGTCGCATGCGACTGCTCTCCCCCAATCACCGAGTTCCACCCAACAAAAAGGTGGAAACTTCGGGATACTCCCTAAGCGCCCCATGTCGAGGATGGACTCTCCCCCCATCGTATTTCCCAGGGTTGGTCCTGACATGTTTGGTTCTTCCGAAAAACTCAAGAAGCCTGGGCCAGGGGTCGACACATCCCATGTTGGGAAGGGGGTGGGGTCCAAGGAATACGCCGTGCCTTACCCGGTCGGCGGCCCCCTCCTCCCCATCCCTCCTTTCCGTCCACGCGGCGCGGGCCGGGCGCGACAAGAGCGACCCGCTGGAAGGCACACTTGGGGGCTCTCGATGGGCAGGGATGCGCCGGGTGTGGCCACAGTCTGGCCGAAGTACAGGGTCGAGGTTGGTTCGAGGAGGGTACCTCTTGGATGCTCTTGTGCATGCTGTTGTGCGTGCTGGGGGTCTCACGTTCTTGAAGGATGTTCGTCTGTCCTAGGTCCCACTGTGGAAAGGCCGTTCGCCCGAGGTGCCCCCAGGATTTCCGAGGAGCCCCCCCCACGGCCTCCAGAGCACCCCTGGCCCAGAGGTCCCCGGGGGCCCCAGAATGGAGCGAAAAGCGGGGGGCACCTTGGGCTACAGGCGGCCCGGCTTAGTAGGTCGACCCTGCCAGATCAAGGGTACCCTCGTGTCCTGTATTTTGCGACCCGTGCCTCCTGCATTTATGTGGCAACGTGGCCCTCGGAAGGGTCTTATGTCCTCTCGCGTGTCCTCTCCAATCCAGTCCGACTGTAGGGCACCTTTAGCAACCCCCGAGGACGAGAGCTCGGGAGTCCAGCGGGCAGGAGCAGAGAGAGAGGGAAGCCTTGCCAGGCACGATCACGAGCGCAGGTAGGCGTTGGTGGTGGCCTTCCCCTCCCCTGCTTCTCCTCCTCCTCCTCCACCTCCTCCTCCTCCTCCTCCTCCTCCTCCTCCTCCTCCTCTTTCCCCACCCCTCCTGCTCATCCTCCCTCTCCACATCCTTCTCCACATCGTCCGCCTCCCTCTCATCCTCGTGTCTCTTTTCACCGATCGGCAAGCGAGAGAGCTACAGGAAAACCTGGGGGAATCGCAGTTCTTTCTGCGGGTGGGCTTGAGCCTAGAGGTGTCTTCAAATGTGTTCCCTCCAGCTTCACTGCCCCCCCCCCCCGGGGCGAGACATGTCCTGTCCTCGGTTGGCACAGCAAGGTTGTACAGCAGGCCTCTGGTCCCACCAGAGGGGCCAGTGCGCCTCCAAGGCATATCACTTCAAGCATCCTCCTCCTCCATCCAGTTTCCTTCTACACAGATCCTCCCTGTCGCACCGGGCATGCCAGGCGTTTCGCTTGAGACTTCTTCACCAGTTATGATCCTGAAGCTTGGAGTCCGCAACAGTTTCAAACATGGAGGACGAGTGGTTTCACGAAGCTTCGCGCCCATTCGTTTTAAACGTTCGCAACAGTTTCAAGGATTCGTGAGGTTCAAGTCCGAGGACTGATGCCGTGGTATGATTCAGGATGATCAGGACGTGGCAGTCACATTGATTCGCAGTGATGAAGTCCCAGGGATGGTGCTCTGGCACAGTTTAGGATCGTCAGGCCAGCAGTCACGTTGATTCGCGGCGTTGGAATCCCAGAGTCAGCAGTCACGTTGATTCGCGGCGATTGATCGTGGCCAGCAGTCACGTTGATTCGTGGCAAGATCGGGGATTCTCAGCCGATTCTCTTTCAATACGGCCATTGCCGCAATGGAAATATATTATTGCAGGGATCTGTTCAGAGCGAACTTGGAAGCAGGGTTTATTGCTACATTATTGGTGCGTCTTAGGTATGCACTGGTCCTTCTCCTCCTATCCTTCCTCTTCCACCTCCTCTTCCTCTTCCTCCTCTTCCTCCTCTCATCGTCATCATCATCGCCACCATCACCGTCATCATCATCATCATCATCATCATCATCATCATCATCATCATCATCATCATCATCATCATCATCATCATCATCGTCGTCGTCGTCGTCGTCGCCGTCGTCGTCGTCGTCGTCGTCGTCGTCATCTTTATTGTCAGCACCATCACCATCACCTGCAGCAGCACAGCAGCAGCAACAGCATCGTCACCATCATCATAATCATTGCCACCACAATCATGACCATTATCATCATCAGCATCATCATCATCATCGTCATCATCATCATCGTCATCATCATCATCGAAATCAGCTGCATCAACATCATCAGCAGCATCAGCATCAGCTGCATCATCTTGATCATCCCCCCCTCCTTCCAGGAGCCGCCGCCGCCGAACCAGGGGGGCGGCTGGCAGACCGACCCTCAGCCGAAGAGGACGGTGGGCTTCGTCGAGAGGGACCGGCGCCGCGTGCCTGGGGGGCGCACCGTTCCTCATCAAGAGGAGGCGGAGGAGGAGGAGGAGGAGGAGGACGATGCGAAGGAAGGGACGAATGAGGAGGAGGAGGAGGAGGAGGAGGAGGAGGAGGAGGAGGAGGAGGAGGAGTGGGGTGGAGCAGACCGAGCGTGTCTTTGTTCGAACGACGCTGTGGGCCCCCCTGTCGGCGCCAAGCGTTGAGCCAAAAGAGCCGCGCGGAGCTCCGAAAGTCAGTGGTTTCAATATCTTGTCTGGCTGTAGATTGTCTTCGGGCGCTCAGGCCTCGGGGCCTCAGGCCTCGGGGCTGAAGCGGGTCCGTCGCCCTCAGGATCGGAAGCCTCGAAGTGGACACCAACACCAATATTGGCGGTGTGCCTCCCCCGAGGGAAGATGCCCCCGATCTCGGTGATGGTGGTAAGATGTGGGCTTCCCAGGTGGACGAAAGACTACCACCAGCACCAACAGCTAGGAGCGCTCTCTCCCGTTGGAGGCCCCCCCTGTGCTGTTGGTGCCCATCCACGGGCTGCGACCAGGACCTGTTTTTTTCTCTCGTGCCCACAATCGAGGGCGGGAGGGCGTGGCGGGAAGCAGCGAGTGGGAGCCATGGCAGGCTCGTGCCGTCCCCCCCCTGGGCGCCACAGCGACAGCACTGGGGGGGCGCGTGTGCGCGGGGCTCTCCTGCAGGGGTTCCGGCGGGCGGGCCCCCACCGGGCCCGACAGCAAGGGGGGCTGCGAGGGAGGAGGCGCGCGCCGGGACGGCGCCGCGCCCGCGCAGCGGCGGCAGCGCAGGAGCACAGGAGTTGAGTTGTGCACACTTTCGGAAACTGGAACATATACATTGCCAGTGGCGGGCTGTTTTCCAATCCCAGGACTTCTGGAGGGTCGAGGACGACGCTGGGGTGGTGTGGTGTATACTTTTTCCCCGATGTTCCGAGGAAATACGAAACAAATATATCCCAGGGTCCCGTATACACCAGGATCCGCTCTCCAGTGCGAATTCCAATGCAGGGCCCGAAAAAGCGTCGGTGTATATAGAGTTCGATTCTCTACACTTGTCTCTCCGTCTCTCTTTTCCCCTCTCTCTCTCTCTCTCTCTCTTTCTGTCCCAGGGCATTCTTGAGCGCGTGCAGCTTTTCAGCGCTTGGTCCGGGTCCGGGGCTTTTAAGCCAGCCTGTTCGGATGTTTCTGTCCGCGGTGTGTGTGTGTGTGTGTCAGAAAGTTGAGCGGCGGGAGGCGGGGTGGAAGCATGGCGAGTTCGTGCCGTCCCCCCCGGCGCCACAGCAGCAGCAAGGGCGCGTGTGGGCGCGGGGCTCTCCTGCAGGGAGTTTAGCAAGGGAAGGGGGTGCAGGTCAGAGGCCAGCGGCACGTGTACACGCAGGCGGTTCGCTTCCGTTGTCTTTCGTTTGAACGCGGACGTTCGTGCGCGCAAGATTTCAGTTGGGCATGGCTCTCTACAGCGGGAACATTTAGAAATAATCCAAATATTGAATCGGGACATGTTTTGTTGTTTGTCAGGGAATGTGGAATATTTGTTAATTCTTACCAACTGCATGAGGACATGCCCGACCTAACGCACGACCGCCGAGGGCGTACACGTACACACATACACACACATACATATATATATATATATATATATATATATATATATATATATACATGTAGATATATGTATATTATGTCGTTGTTCGCTCCACTTTGGAGGAGGCACGCCGGGGCGGCGCCAGAAATAGGGCGGCACTGGAAGTGCCCCTGACCCGAGGTGCCCCATGGAGTTCCAAGGAGGCCCCCACGGCCTCCAGGGCACCCTGCACGAGGCCCAGAGGGGGCCCCAGCGGCTCCGACGTGGAGGGACAAAGCAGGGGTACCTTGGGCCAAGGGCACCTGTTTAGCAACTCCCGAGGCAGAGCAAGTCCTGTCTGTGGCCAGCCCGCCATACCCCCAGGCTGCTGCTCCTCCCTGCCGTCCGCCCCCGGCTCCTGAAGGCCCACGCCTCCCAGAACGGCTCGTTGCGCAGATGCCAGGCGGAGCTCCCCCCGCCCTCCGCTCCAGCGCGCGCGGCGCCGAGGACGACGCGAGCCGCGCGGTGGCGCTGCCGCCCCTGGGGCCGAGCGCCTCGCTGGCCGCCGGAGCGCAGGCGCTCCCCCCCGCGCTCGGGCACTGGGCGCTGCGTACGACGACGACGACGACGACGACGACGACGACGTTGACGACGACGTTGACGACGACGTTGACGACGACGTTGACGACGACGACGACGACGACGACGACGACGACGACGACGGCGGCGGCGGCGGCGGGGGCGATACGGCGGCGACCCCGCCGCCGGCGTTCAACATTGAACGTCGCTGGCGAGCGACCCAGAATCTCGGGCCGGACGAAAGGGGGGGATTGGGAAAGGGGGGGGTACGAAATTTGCTGCATGCAGCTGGTTTCGGCCCCACCACGGGGCCCAGTCCTCGATACATTGCCGCCTCCGGCGCCGGGAGGCGCCAGGAAAATCAGCTACGTGAGCTGATTCTCAAACCCCCCCTTTGCTATCCCCCCCTTTCGCCCGACCCGAGAATCGGTCGATGTTGGACGATCGGACGTTTCGGAAACGGCCGCTCGTTCAAAGGCTGAACGCTTGGCCGAGCGCCTCGCTGGCCGGCGGAGCGGAGGCGCCCCCTCCCCGCGCTGGGGCATTGGCGCTGCGTACGACGACGACGACGACGACGACGACGACGACGACGACGACGACGATGACAACGACGACGATCGAGGCCCTACCTCGGCTGCGCGGCCCCTTGCGGGCTTCTCAGGGGAAGAAGCTTCATATCCTGACCAGCGAACGACTCACACCGATACCTTCTAGGCGGGTTCGGAGAGAGGCGGACAGGTATGTGTGCGCGTTATCGGAGCATCTAGGAGTCTCCTTTTGAAGCGGGGACCCCCGTCCGCCAGCAAGCACTCATAGCCCAATCCGTCCCCCCTTTCTGGGTATGGTTGTGTGCTGTATGTATCTGTGGACTCCCAGATCCCAATGTACTGCAAGCGACTTCCTACTTCACGAGTCGAACGGTTTTCTCTCTTCCCTGCTCTTCAGGGTGCGGGCCGAGATCTAATATACTACCAAAAGATGTCTACCCGCTTCTTCTCACCGACGGGCCAACAGGAGTTCTTGGATGTTTGCTGGGCCCTGGGGGTACAGCGCCGACATCGCGCGAAGTTTCGAAAGTTTGCCTTTGTGCAGTTTTTGTTGTTTCCGCAGTGCTGGCCCTTCCTCCACTCGTGACTACTGCTCTCCTCCCCCCCTGGCGCGGTAATCGGACGTGTTCGTCAGTTCTCGGTGTTTGTCCGGCTCCGGGATGCGTTCTAGCAGTTGCGCCTCGCCGAGCGCGTTTTGCCAGGAGGGGCGGATCGTCCCGAACGGCCGCCGTACCCGAGTTATGGCCAGAAAGCCGTAGGTGGATATACATATACATCTATCTACCTGGCATCGCTCGGACGTGTGCATTTTTCCTTCGGCGAGGACCATCGAGGAGCATCCTTGATCATTTGGCGAAAAAGCCACGCACAAAACCGAAGAAAACACAGGAAGTGGACGTCCGAGCGATGGCCAGTATATGTGTGCATATTCTATATATATATAGTAGGCTCAGGAGGGGGGATACACCGACCGCCAATCGCCCACGCACCGCCGATAGTGGCCCGATAGCCCACCCGTGCGGACTCGCTGTCTGGGGCCTATCGGCGATCGGTCGGCGACGCGTCGCCGATTCCAGATCGACGTTTCTCCCCCTGAGCCGGTCCCGCCTTGCCTTGGACCCTCGGCATTGCCTCCTGGTGCTCAGCCCCGTCCCCCCTCGAGTTACAGTCGGGGCGCTGAGGAAGGAACCCTTTTCGTTGGGGAGGAGCTCGGGGTTCCTTAGTTGTTTTGCAGTTCGCCTTTGGTTTTGCTTAGGGCTTCGATGGGAATTTGAAGTTTAACTTATGGGAAAAAGGGGCCTCGTTCCTTATTTAGGGTTCCTTTGGTCAACGCCCCGACTGTAGCCCATCCTGACGATCGCACAACACACAGACATCCGATTGGCCATGGATCTGGGCCCGGGCGCGGGATGTCGGGCCGCGAGGGAGGCTCCCGTTCGAGCAGGTAATTACCCCCATCCGACTCGTGGGTCCCAAACCCGGATAGCAGGGCGCAGGCGCAGGAAACCTGTGTGGGAGACGCTTGCCAGGACGTTGGAAAGTATGCCTGGGCAGCTTGCTTCGAAGAGGCTTCGAGGGAGCTACGAAGGACCTGCGGAAAGGCTTGAGGCACGCGTATTGGGAACGAGTCGCGCCGCCTCCTGATAGGGAGCTCTGGAGAGGAGCTTGCGTAGCCCTGCCTGCCTGCCAGCTGCCGTAACCCTGCCGTACCTAACAACCCTCTTAGCTCTCCAAGGAGCCATCTGGGAATAACACGCATTCATCGCCCACTCCGGCCCCTCATGGGTGCATTCGAACCGAGGTATCTGATCGGGGACGGTTCGGGGAGGGTGCCCTGATGTTCTTCGTGTTCGTCGCATGCTCTTGTGCATCCTGGGAAGGGTACCCTTGGATGTTCTGTGTGTTTTGGCCGACGGAGGGTCTTATAGCCTCTGACATGTAGGTCCGACTGTTTGGGTTTATGTTGTTCGTTCGTCCTTCCCCTCGTGGCTACTGCTCTTTTCTCGGCCACGCGTAGAGGGGGTTGGGCAAGTCAGGTGCGCTCGCGTCATATATGACATCCTACCCCTCCCTCCCATGCCTTACCATGGCGTAGATCCCCTCTCTACTCGCACAGTCGGATGTTGAGCAGGGCAATGATCCCGAAAGGGTACGCGATGCATTATAGAGCACGGCGTGGCATGGCGTAGAAGAGCACCGCAAAGCGTAGTATGTCACAGCATGGCGTGGCGTGGCGTCGTGAAGAATTGCATCGCAAAGCTTTGCAACGCAAAGCATGGCATCGCACAGTGGCCCCGAACATAACATTGTATAGCATGGCGTTGAAGATCAAAGCGTGGCTTGGCATAGCATGACGTGGCACTTACGCACTGGATATGACAGCTGCAGCTGAAGGCGTGGCATCGCGCAGCGGAACGCAACCCAGAATTGCATTGCATGCCGTGGCATGGCACGGGAAATGACGCCAGCGCTGCGCAGGAACACGATTCGGAACGAGCAGAAGCGCGGAAATGAGGCCAGCGCCGCAGCGGGAGCACGATTCGGAACGAGCGGAAACACGGACATGAGGCCAGCGCTGCAGCGGGAACACGATTCGGAACGAGCGGGAACCCGAACATATGAAGCCCGCACCTCAGCGAAGCCCGAACCCTGCCCCACGTAACTCCCGTGGTGGGTTCGGTGTATTCCTCGAAGCGGTCCTTTTCCAGGCCCCCTGGTGGTGGGCGGGGGGGGCGGGGGGGATGCGGGAATTCGTCTTGGGCGAGGATGGCCTGCATGTCGAGGAGCCGAGCGTCCTCTTCCAGTCGCCCACAGTGCCGCGTGTGCGACGGAAGGTCTCTCCATTGTTCCTCTGGGCCCATGGTGGCCTGGGCTGTTCGCTCGTGGGCCCAGCATGGGCACCTCCACGCGGCGTGTTCCAAGGTCTCCGCTTCTCGGTTAGACCAGCGGCGCAGCGGGGGCGGTTTGGCCGAGATTCCCGCCCGCAGTTTCTTGTGTCGGGTGTGGTCACCATCACAGATGCAGTTGCACAGGGGGCCGCGTTGCCACGCAGTGCGTTCGTGTTTCCCTTCGGTTTGTGGGAACAAGGCGTTGGCGAAGTAGTCGAGACCTTGTTTGACCGCGGCGACCGTCCCCAGATCGTGAGTGGTGGTGTGGATACGTCGGAGGAGGGCCCGCCTTTGCGATGCTCCGAGCACGCGCGTGAGTATCTTATCGATGGGCAGGTGCACCCACGACAGATGTGCGCCACAGTCGCCACGCATCTTGCTGAAAGCTGGCCAGTTCCATTCCAGTTGGGCGATAGTTTGCCAGACTCTGCCTTTGGGGCCGCTTCCTTGGAAGGTTTGCGCGCGGTCACGGATCGCTTCGGCTTTGGCGTTGGGACCAGTGTCTCGCCGGGCCTGCCTCCGCGTGCCAAGGAGTGCCCCCCCTTTTCGTGGTGGCGTCAAGATCCAGGGCATGTCCTGGGGCGATGACGGCATGCGCACGCTATTGGGATGTCCATGATCGCGCATGCTCCTCCTGTATGGCGAGCTTGGCGGAAGAGGGAGGAAGGCGGGAGGAGAGATGGATGGGGGAGGGAGAGGGCGGAGGAAAGGGAGGCAGAGGAGGAGGTTGCAGAGAGGGACAGGGCGAGGAAGGAACCGCGAGGCAGGGGAAGAGAGAGAGCGGAGGAGGAGGAGGAGGAGGAGGAGGAGGAGGAGGAGGAGGAGTCCAGCGCCCAGGGTCGGTTTCCCGAAGGCCGCACGTGTATTGCACACGCCCAGCCAACGAACTACCGCCCGGAAAGCAGCAACAGCTGCGCAGGAAGGGCACAGGGAGTGACCACGTCGCTTGTGAAGACTCGCGGCCCAGCGGTTCCGACATGGTGCGTTGGGAGCCAAAGGCATCCCAGTCGGAACAATTGGCACGGCATACTGAGGAGCACAAGCTCCCCAGCCCTGGGAGGGCACAAGGCCCCTTGGGACTCACGTGGCACAAGCCGCCGCCTCCCGAGGAAATGCCGATCCGTGAGGGTCAGATCACAATGAAATGACCGCACAGGCGCCGCTACCCGCCTTCACCAGCAGGGCCAGGCTGAGAGGCCGTGCTACACCCAACGACGGGAGACCCGTCGATACAGGTTTCGCAACGAAACCGGCCGGTTGCACCCCGCCCAACCTGCGAAATAAGTGCCGTGTACAGTGTGCCCCGAGGGTGCTCGGCTTTGACACCATGAAACAGGTGCCAGGCCTCACCGGAGGGGCGGATGAGGAGGAGGAAGAGGAGGAGGAGGAGGAGGAGGAGGAGGAGGAGGAGGAGGAACCATTTGGAACTCGCCGGGACCATTAGAAAGAAGGAGGACGCAGAGGAGTTGGGGAAGGGACCAGTGCAAACCCAACACGCGTTAACGATGTTGCAACCGAACTTCCCTCCATGCTCCGTTTGAATCGGTCCTACGCGAGTTCATGTTTACGATATCCGTCTTAATCGGTTAATCCCCCCCTTGAAAACAACGTCGAATTATTATCAACCCTGAGACGTGCAGAACACAACTCCTGGGACTTCAACAAAGCAAGTCATATTGGCTGGTGCGTCCAGGCAAGCCTGAGTCGTGCAAGGACAGTACTGTTGGGAATTCAGCCGCGCGAGTCCTTAAATGCAAACGTTTTAGACGGGTGTGAGCGTGGCGTTCTGCTGAGAACACCCGTTGATTGTTTAAACAACCCTTCGTTCTAAGCAGCTTGTATTGCTTAGGGCGAGTGCGCTCGGCGCCAAGGCGATAGCCATCACTGTTGTTTACACCAGCCGCCCACTATCCTTGAAGCCGCTTCGATAATCAAGTTCCAATATCACAAATGGTGCGGCAATCTCGGGCGAATCGCCTGGCCGGCCCTTCCAACACGGCCTGATCGAGCGGCATGGGTGGGTAGATCATTCGGAGGAAAAAAAGGGGGTGGCAGAGGGAAGGGAGATGAGGAGGAGAAAGAGTAGGAGGAGTCGTTGGAGGCGAGGCACGAGGACGAGGAGGAGGGAAGACAGGAGGAGGTCTGAGGGGGAAGGAGGGAAAGGAGGGAAGGGAAGGGAGCGGGAAAGGGGAAACAGGGGGGGGAGGGAGGGAGGGAGGGAGGGGGGAGCAGGAACAGGCCGACGCAGGCGGAGGAGGACCAAGGAGAAGGAGGACGAAGAAGGAGGGAGGGGGGAGGAGGGCGTCCCCCCCCCCCTCTTCGGAGGGCCCGCGCGCCCCGTCCCCGCCCGCTGCCCCGCCGGCGGAGGCGCCGGCGAGCGCGACGGTGCTGTCGGCCGACCAGGCGCTGGCCGCCGAGGAGCAGGACCGCCCCCCCGGCCGCCCCGCGGCGGTCCGCGCCCCCCCCTCCCCCGCGGCCGCCCGGCCGTCCTGCGGGGAGGGGGGGGGCGCCCGTGCTCCTCGCCCTCCTCTGTCTCCCCTGTCTCGCTGTGCCTCTCTCTCTCTCTCTCTCTCTCTCTCCTCTTTTTTTTGTTGTTCCTCTCTCTCTCTTCGCCTCCTCCTTCTCGCTTCGCCTCTCTCTCTCTCTCTCTCGCTTTCTCCGTTCCTCCTCCGTTTCGCCTCCCTCCTCGGCCCCGAGGGCGTGGGATTGTGGAGCACCTCGGGGTCGAGGGCGCGCGCGCGAGGCTTTCACGCCGAGATCGCGCGTGCGCCTTTGAGTGATCTGCGTGCTCTGTGGCGTCCTCCTGTCCCTCCTCTTCCTCCTTCTCTCCTCCTCCTCCTTCTGTTTTTCTCCTCCTCCTCCTCGTCCTCGTCCTCTTCCTCTCCCTCCTCCTACTCCCCCTCCTACTCCCCCTCCTCCTCCGCTTACTCCTGCTTCTCCTCCTCCCCCTCCCCGGCTCCCTCACCCTCCTCCTTCTCTCCCCCCCCGCTGTTCCTTGTTATGACGCAGATATTACCGTTGTTTACCAGGGCTCAGCGAGGCCGACCAGGACTTAGCAACACTTTCTAAGGGCACACCACAGCTTGCCATAGCTGCGCAAAGCTTACCATGTCTGAGCAGGGCTCAGCCGTGCTTGTAGCAATGCTTAGCAAAGCGTCGCATGGCTTAACAGGATCTAACAGGGCTTAGCTAAGCTGAACTACATTTGCCAGGGCTGAGCGGACCGTGGCAAGGTCTATCCAGGCTTAGGGGTTTACCAGGGCGTACACGGCTTAGCATGGCTTCGCAGAGCTAAGCAGGGCTGAACAAAGCTCAGCAGGGTTTACTTAGCACGGTTTAGCAGTTTCGCTCACGGCAAGAGGAGGATCATCATCTCAAGGAGCAGTTACACAGCACCGGGCAACATGAATGTGTTTAGGCGTTGTTGCGGGCGATGAGCCAAGCATCGAGGGAGTCTCCGGGGGGGCCCAGACAGTGTGGTGACCACACCGCGTGGTTAGTCATAAGGAATTCGGGGTCACCGCGCGGCTTTGAGACACGGGTCGTTCTCCGAAGACGTCTCGGGCGACTGGGGCAATCACGATCCCAAATCCGTGCGGTGACGGACTGCGCGGTGAGATCTCTTGCGGTCCCGAGGTCACAACGCGGCCCGCAACCACACGGATTTGGACCCCCGTGTCCGCCGCCCACACAGTTGAGGCGAGGAGCGTCTCATTAGTAGTCCCTTGATTCCGGCCTCGCGATTTCTCCCACGAGGCTGCAAATGGTCGACACAGACGCTTCAGAGCAGAAGCTTTGAAGGGTCTTCCCCTCTTCACGGGTCTTCTCCCTCCTACAGTCAAGGGTCCCAAATAAGGACGGACCATTTTGGGTTCAGGGAGGCGTTGATTTCCAGGTCGCTCCTTAGATCTAGGTCGCGGAACTGAATCGCGGCCGAAGCTCGCCGTGGCCAGGAAATCCCCTTCGCTCGTCAATTCGCGCTCCTTCCGGCAGTGCCATGACTGGATCTCCCGAGGGGGGTCCTGCCTGATAGCCCGCCCCCTACCCCCTGGCTGTCCCTTCTCGCCTTCCCTCCGCTGGACCTCTCTCCCGTCCCCTCCCCCTCGCCGCCAGGAGGCCCTCCGCCTCGAGCACCTGGGCTCGAGCGCGTCCGCTGGAGCGGCGGCGGCTGGGGCAGCCGAGGCCCGTGGCAGTTCTGCAGTGCGCTTTGGCCTCCTCCGCCCCCCCCCCCTTTGTCAGGAGGAGAAGAGACACACAGACACAATTCATCGACGATTCCCAGGACAAAAATGGGGAATTTTGGGAAGTGGGGGGGAAGATGACAACCCAGAACATATGCGAAAATATGGGGATCCTGTTATTTGTGTATTTCTTTGTGATTCCCAGGGCCCCTTCACTTTGCTCCTGCGGCAACATCTTCGGCCGCCTTCCTCTTCCTACTCCACCGTCCGCCTCTTCCCTCTCGTCTCGGGCCAGACGCAAGGGGGGGATCGGGAAAGGGGGGGCTACGAAAACTGCTGCATGCAGCTGGTTTCGGCCCCACCGAGGGGCCCATTCCTCGATACATGGGCGCCTCCGGCGCCGGGAGGCGCCAGGAAAATCAGCTACGTGAGCTGATTCTCAAACCCCCCCTTTGCTTCCCCACCTTTCGCCCGGCCCGATACTCCCGATACTCCACCGTCCGCCTCTTCCATCTCACCCTCGTCCTCGCTCTTCCGTCCCGGTTATCTTCATCCCGTTATCTTCATCCTCATTCTCGTTATCTTCATCCCACGTTTTCGTTCTTCTTCCTGCTGATACGACAAGGAAGAACAAGCCATCATCAACGCATCGCCAGCCGCGTCGGTAAGTCGTGTCCTGGCGTTTCGTGTGAAGTCCCCATATAAAGGTACACCATACGGCTTACGGAATGCCCAGCCAGCCTCTCGGATGAATGATGGCGCGATATCAACAGGGGTTTCGTGTGAGCGCCGCGTTGATGCGTAACATAAGGTGCCAGCATCTACATGGATGGATGATCATATTTTGTTCATCATGTCTTTCTCGCCTGATACTTTGTCGGATGTCCAATGACCACGAAGCCTGGAATATCGCCTGATTATTTGTCGGATGTCCAATGACCATGAAGCCTGGGATCTCCAGTAGCTGCCCGGATTGATAGTGATAGCGGTTCTTGTTGTCAACGTTGTTCTCGTTGCAGATGCTTTCTGCGATTCCGATTACGGGGTTTGCATGTTTTGGCAGTTGGGCAGACCGAGGGCGGTATCGTTCTTCAGCGCTGTCCCATGGGAGTGCCTTACGATGATATCCAGAGGCGGACGCCACACCGCCGAACCCCTGGCTCTTCTTTGGCCATGTCCTCGAATGCGATTCGGTCGTTCGAACAGAGCCTGGCATCGCTCGGACGTGTGAATTGTTTCCCTCGGCGAGGACCCTGGAGGAGCATCCGGGATGCCTTGGCGAAAAAAAGCACGCACGAAATCTAAACATACACGAGGAATGGACGCCCGAGCGATGGCAAGAGAGAGAGAGCGAGAGCGCTAAAGCATTGGGTTCGCAAAGGGGGGGGCAGTGCAGCGCGTCTGTCGGCGCGCTGCCTCGCCTCTGGCAGCGCGTCTGGCGGCGCCTTCTCGTGCAGCGCGGGGCGGCTTGGCGTCGCTCGTAGGTGTTGGCGGCGAGCAGAGGGGGGTAGGGGGAGGCGGGAAGGCTTCTTAGGAGGAGGCTGCTTCTCAGAAGACGCCGGCCTTGCATCTACAGAGAAGGCCCGCACCTTGTAAGAAGCAGGGGTGCTTCTAAGAAGCCTTCCCCCATCCCCCTGTCCCCCTCTGCGCGCCGCCAAACGTGTGCACTTTTTTCTCGGCGGGGATTTTTCGGGAGCATCCTGGAGCACCCCGCGAAAAAAAGCCGCGCACGAAACCGAACAGAAAACGCAGGGGATGGCCGTCCAAGCGGCGGGGGGGACGAGGCTCGCGTCCGCGGGGCTGCAGAGCTGCGTGCTCGGCGCGCGGGCGGCAGGGAAGCCAGCGCGCGCGCGCGCCGGGCAGCGGCCGAGTGGCCAAGGTGGGGAGGGCAAGGGAAGGTAAAACGACGCGAAGATCGGGACAAAATCGGATCGGGATAACTCGAAATCTCTGAGAATCGGCGGGTTTGGAGGATGTATTGGGCGCCGCGGCCGCTCCAGAGCGTTCCGGAACGCTCTGCGAGCGCTCCGGAACGCTCTGGAGCGATTTATCCCGATCCTAGCCCTGTTTTAGAAGGGAGGCCCTGGGGCATCGGAGGGAGGAAGGCACAGGAGGGAACGCGGGCGACGCGAGGGGGCGGAGTGAGGAAGACCGAGGGGCGCGGGAGCGCTCGTAGCTGGAGGGCGACTGAAGGAATCAACCCTCGAGGGGGGGAGGGGGATGAAGACAGGGACGCGGAAGCGCTCACAGTTAGAGGGCGACTGAGAGAAGCAACCCTCGAGGCCCTTGCGGGCCTCTGGCCGGGAGGGCCTCTTGGAGACCTCTCGGCACGGCCAGGACCTGGGCCAGAGGCGTCGCGAGGGCCACCCCGGGCCTCCTCGGACGCTTCGGGGATTGCGCGCCTGCAGTGCGTAGATCATCGGGAGCGGAAAAGAGGGGGGTGATGACTAGGGGGGTGGATATCATGGCGCCGGCCATGATTTTTCCTCTGATTTCATAGCGCCTCTTCTTCTTTCATGACGTCCCAGGCCCCCCCGCTGGGCCGCGCACGTGCCGCCGGTCATGATTTGCACCCCCCCCCCTCTTGGACACCCCCCTCTTGGCCGCTCCCGAGATCAGGAGGGGGAAAACACGGACAGACATCAAACATTGTCGATTCTTTGGAAAACGTGAAGGGTTTGGGAAGATCCAGGCTCTGTGTCCATCTATTATGAGGGCCTTGCGGCGGGTGCCGCCGACCCAGAGGGACGACGACGACGACGACCACGACAACGACAACGACGACAAGCACAACGACGAGTTGATGACCCTGCCACAAGCTTGGGATGCTCATGGGAGCCCTGCGGAGGCCTCTTGGGGTCTCCTTGGGGCCTTCGGTTTTGTTTGTGCGGCTGCCTCTTGGGGCGTTGTCGTTTTCGGGCGCTTTTGGGCCGCCTAGCGCTTTCGGAGGCTGTTTGAATAGCCTGTCGGAAGCCGTCGGGGGGTCCATTTGAACGTCTGCGGGGCTCTCTTGGGGCCTTCTTGGGGGGTTCTTTGGCCGTCTAGGGCCTTTTTGCTGGCCTCTGGGGCCGTCAGGGGGGGATTATGAGGGCCCCTTGAGTCGTCGTGGACGCGGTTGAGACCGAGCAAGCGCGCGTTGTATGAGTGCAAGTTGCCCAAAAGAATCCGTATGATTCGAGGCCCTTCTTCCGAGTCCTTTGGGAACCCTTTGGGGGTGTCCAGGGGTTTTCGTGGGCTGCCTTCGGGCCATCATGGCGCGTCTGGCCGCCATTTGGGGCCACACGGAGGCCATGTTGGCCATGTGGGTCTGTTGGGGCCATGTCGAGGCCTTCTGAGACCGTCTGGGGACTGTTCTGCACGAGATGGATTCCCTGGCGGAATCGGAGAGACATCCACCCCTCTCCAAGAAGGCCAGATCGAGCTCCCGGTGGAGGGGTTTGGGGGGGGGAAGTGTTGCGCACGCCGAGGAATCCCTAAGGGGTCGGCGAATTTCTCACAAGTTTGAAGTTTCGAGCAATTGCACGGGCACAAGGTGGTGAGTTTCTGAGATCGCGTTATCAAAATTCAGCAGCAGCTGCACAGATGGTCTTCCTCTTTCCAAGGGCGGGGGTGGGGGAGGGCTAGATCGCCATTCTCGTGATCTTGTATGCCCCGAGGCTGGCAACGCGTCGTGGGCGACCCCAGACAAGTGCGAGGACGACCCGTTGTGGACAGGAGCCCCGCTAGGTGCTCTTGCGCTGCGCCCGACGCGGACTGGGCTGCGGTGCGCGACATTCAGACGAAGTGCTGGTCAGCTTTGGTCGCCTGCAGTGGCGTACGTTGATGTGTAATCTCGATGTGCACTTAATGCTGTGCATGTTACGTGATGCGATTGAAGCTGTGAGTGCAATATTTGCGGTGCCGCTAGTGCAACCGATGTGGTGCCACATATGTTGTGTTGCCTACCTTGTACAATCTGCGTGATGCAATCTATGGGTTGTCATCCACTCTGCTGAACTTGAAGTCGTCATCTCCACTGCTCGCGCAAACATCCCACCCACCCACCCGCAACTTGGTTTGCAATACCTCTTAAGACCGACTACGACGACACCGACGACAACGACTACGACGACACCGACGACGTCTTCGTCGACTTCGACGACGACAACGACGCCGACGACGACGACGATGAAGATGACGACGACGACGCCAACGAAGGCGACGACGAGGGAGGAGAAAGGACGACGACGGCGACAACGACGACAACGACGACAACGACGAGGGAGGAGGGAGGACGGCGACGACGCGAACGACGAAGAAGGAGGAAGGACGGCGACGCCGACGACGACAACGACGAGGGAGGAGGGATGACGACGACGACAACGACGACGACGACGACGCGACGAACTAGGAGGGACGACGACGAGACGCCGACGACGGACGACGACGACGACGATGGAGGAGGAGGAAGGACGACCACGGCGACAACGACGACGGAAACGACCACGACGCCAAAGAGGACGATGACGACGAACACGAGGAAAGACAGAGGACGACGTAGGCGACGACGACGACGACGACGCGGGAGGAGGGAGGACGGCGACGACGACGACGACGACGACGACGACGCAAGAGCGCGCGCGCACGCTTTTGTTGAAAATCCGTGTTGCGAAACCTTGGGTTTTTGTAAGTTTTTTGGACACGATTTTGAACTCCTTCCGAAACCGATGGGTTTTGAAGAATTTCGGCATACGCGCGACGACGCGCGCGTCTGCACTTCGTCCCATTTTTTGCACAGGGTTCTCGCGACGGCACACGCGCAAGGGCGTTCGACAGATTTCGTCATGCGCGCGCGCAAAGCCCGTTTGGTAGCATTTTGTGGAAATCTTGGAAAAACCGATGGTTAAGATTTCGCATGAGCTGGCGCGGAAGTTCTTTTAGCAAATCAGTGTTGCGAAACCCTTTGTGGTTGTGCGTTTTTTGGAAACTCGATTGCGCAATCTTTCCGGCACCGAAGGTTTTTGAAGGATTTCGGCATGCGCGCGCGACGACGCGCGCGTGTGCACTTCGTCCGTTGCAAGGGATTCGCGAAAAAGGTGTTACGTTAGGAAAAAATATGTCACCGCAGTGTTTTTTTCTACAAGGGACCCTCAGGGGGGGGATACGGGCCCCCGGGGATAGTGTAAATTCATATTTCGGATGGACATGTGGTCAGAATCATATAAGATTTACATACCCGAAAGGGGGACCGATAACGCGGGGGGGGGGGGGGGAGATCCTATTCTGGTTTTTAGAAAGGAGAATACACGCAGTGGTGCAAGCTATGAGGTCCAAGATGAAGTGGTGCAAACCGTGTGCAAGCTTGTGGGGTGCAAGCTATGTGGCAGAAGTTTTGCAGTACAATTCCCATACGCACTTTTGCAGGAGTGGCTCCGAGTTTTTTCGGGGTGCACGAAGAGTCTACCAGGTACGTCTGCTCACGTGGCAGTACACATCGGGAAATCTATCGGCCCCCACCACCTTGGTCGAAAACCAGTGCGCAATCCCGGCGGCCCTGCACATAGCAGGCAATATGTCAGCACCCCCGCCGTCCCAGTCAAAAACCAATGCACAGTGATCGCGGGGTGCCCGCGCATGATCCAGAGTTTGCCTCGAAGTATATGTTGTATTATGTTTTTGGCGGGGATGCTGGCCCTGCGCGCAGCAGCAATACGCGGGCAGACCCCCGCCCCTACAAGAAAAATGCATTGCAAAGTGCTCGCGCCCCACCCCCGACCATGACCCAAGATTTTGCCCCAAAGTGGACGTCACATTGTTATTCCTGAGGCCTTACGGCCAGTGCCGCCGACCCTGGAGGCCTCTGCCTTCGACGGCAATGGGAGGGAGAGGGCGGGCCATGGGCCCTGGGAGGGTGGTATTCTGACCCGGGACCACCCCCAGGGGCCCCCCCCCCTGGAACCACCCCCCAGGACCCCCTCCCCCCTCCGCGGGGAACGAATCAAAGGGAAAGGTCTTCCTTTCGACTCACCCCCCGACCATGACCCAAGAGGTTTATTTTGCAGGGATGGTCTGGGGGGGGGCCTATGGGTCCTGGTTGGCTGCCCGTTGCCTGGGGGAGGGCTGTTTATTTACAGGGAACAGTGACCAACCCCTTCCCCGAAGAGGAAGAAGGGGGTTGGAAGAGGAAACGCCCTAACCGCTCACGCCCTAAAGGTCTGATGGGATTTGCATCCACAGCGTCATGGGAACTGTCGCAGCTGGCAGCGCCGCTAATCATGCCACCTCCTCATCATTGTTCCCCCCGTTCGTCCGTATCCATGTTGGTTCAAGAAGGGTGAATTACTCAGATAACTACTGGCAGTAGCCTGTACGAAAATCACAACGGTAGCGCACAACCCTTCCCTAATTGTGGTGAGTTGCGATGGGTTTTGGGAAAAATTTGCAGAAGCTCTTCGGAGGTATGGTGGGTGCAGATGATGGGCCGCCCGAGTCGACGACACGATGGGAGAGGGCCGTTTCGGCATTGCACGGTCTATCGCAGCAAGTTGCGAAAATTGACCCAGATGGCATCGATGTGTATTGTTTTCCTGGTGCCAGTGGAGGTGTTGACAGATACAGAAACATAACAGACACGGATTCGGTGCATGGCATGGTGTCTGCTCATGACCCTGCGGGGCCTTGTAGGATGGCCGAGGCATTGAACATGGCCTTCAAGAGCGCCGCGGCGCGAAGCGACAGTAAGCCAGTCTCCATGCTCGTGATCACAGCCGGTCAGCCCGACGATGAGGAGGAGGTAATCAGCAGTATTAAGCAGGCGGTGGCAGAGCAGCACGGGTATTTGACTATAACTTTCGTGCACGTGGGAGACGATCCCGACGCGGAGGCCTTCCTGAAGCACCTCGACGAAAACCTCACGGGCACCTCGGCCAGTGGCGCAGAGATTGACATCGTGGACACCGTCAAGGACGAGGACCTGAGAACGGCCATGGCCGAGATGCGCGATCCAGAGTTCAAGGCTGGCATGGCAATCGGAGCTCTTCTGGGCGTGCTCGCGGGCGCTGCTGCAGGCGCCGGCGGCGCGTACATGCTCGCCAAGAGGAACGCCGAAAAGCGGACCGTGGGTTGGAACGGCAGGTGGGAGGTTCTCAGCCAGTTTTCGGTGGCGAATCATGGGAGTTTCGAATACCCTCGTGATTCCGTCTTTGGAGTGCACTAGCGTCGACTAACGTAATCGATGAGAAAGCGCCGATTTCGCGTCGATGTGTATCGATTAGTGCCGGTTCAATGTCGATCAGCGTCGATTCGAAAGAGCCAACAAGATTGTATGGGAGACCTCATGAGTCGCCACCGAAGCCAGCCCGGCGACACGCCCACGGGTGTGATTCTCGACGTGACGGACGATCTCGCCGGCGGTTTGCAGATTGATGGCTACCCTGAGGATTTTGCTCTTGGCCCCAGGTCGAGCACGGGCAGGTATGTCGATTCGGAGCAGGGCTACGCCATCAGCCGCGAGGTGGCGGACGGGAGCAGGTCGATTGGAGAAGGATGCATCAACGGTTGTGGTCGCCGGCCTTTCAGCAAGTTCCCCACATGTTGCACGCATTGCAAGGGTCCATCTGGTCCTCACGCCCGTGACTGCTCCGCGAAGGCCAAGCCAAAGGGACTGGGCGAGTCTATCAGCGGCAACGTCGTCGACGAGCACCTCATCGAGTGGAGTGACAACACCTCCTGGCGCGAGGTGCCTCCTGAGGGGGCAAGCTGGGGAGTGATCGCGGGCGCAGGCGCCGTGGGCGCGATTGCGGGAGGGGTGGGAGGTGGTGCTGTTGGAGCCCTTATCCACAAGAAGTTCTTCAACAGCGCAGCTTCGAAGACTCCCGGGGACTACGTGATCATTGTGGACCGCTCTGCAAAGATGGCCCTGGTGGACAGTGGTCCCGGCCATTCGTGAGAATTCGTCATCGCGTTTGAAGCAATATTTGGCATGGTCACTTCAGGAGGTTTGTTGGCCCGTCGGCCATCCATTTGGTTGTATTGATTTCTCTAGTGACGTGGTATATTGCACACGGTGGCCAACAGTAGACACCACGCATAGCAAGCGCAGGACAAAACATTTCAATCAATCACATATTATCAATATCAAGTTGCTTGCGGCAATCTCCGCCACCGTGCCAGTGCAGCAGCGCAGCAGAAATGATGTTTATTTCAAGTTCCAGCCAAGATCTGATAGGGCGCTGAATTGGAGCAGGACTTGAGCACCTCCTGCTTGTCCACAGCCTCGTGTTTCTATTTTTTCCATGTTGGAGGCTTCTCTGGGGGCTCTTCAAAGCCTCTGGAGTCTCTTGGGCGCCTCTGAGGGCCATCTTCGGAGCCCTTGGGGGTAAGTATGTTTGGGGTTTCTGGGTGCCGTTTGGAAGCCGCTTGGAAGCCTCTTCGGGGCTTCTGAGGGCCTCTCGGAGACGTCTTGGCAGCTTCTGGTGGCCTCCTGGGGCACGGTGGGGGGCATGTTGGGCATCTCGGGCAGAATCTTGGAAGGAAAGGTTTCCACACCCAGTTCGAGCACCCCGCCTTAGTCCCCTTCTGTGGGTTTTCCAGTAGGTCTCTTGGGTCATCTTCAGGGCCCTTGTTGGCCTTTTTGAAGCCCGCCTGGGCAATCTTGGAGTCGTCGTGGGTCGTCTTGGACCCCTCCTCGGCGCACATGGCCCATGTGCATCACGCGGCCAGAGTATTTGGCACAAGCTGTCACCGATGATGGCGACACAAGAGAACCGCCGCTTGCTGCACAAATTGCTTGGGACGTCCGCGCGTCGCAGGACTCCCAGGACAGTAACGCAAGGGCGAGACGTGATGCCACGGGGTCGAAGAGCAGGGGGGCGGGAACGGGGGAGAGGAGGACGGACGGGGAGCCGAACAGTCAAACGCAGGAGCAGCAGAAGAAGCATTGAGGAGGCGGAGGAGAACGACGACAGTAGGTGTCATCCCCTCCCATTGGTGGAACGACGGAGGCGGGATGACATAGTTTCTGGTAAGGGACGATGGCGAATGTTCTAGGGGGTCGTTGATGGGCGGCGGCGCCGACGCCAGCTCGTTTAGGCGTCCAGGGTGGTCAGTTGTTCATAAATTGTGCTGGGAAGCTTCGCAGCTTCCAGGCGACGGCGAGGTCGCAACTGAGTCCCCGCAGGGCGTCGCTGCTCCTAGGGCCTCCCAGCAGCCCTCGAACGTGGCGAGCGTCTCCCAGATTGCAGCTGCCTGGTGATGGTGAAATGTAGCCTGAATCCCAGTAGGGCGTCATTGCGAAGGGCACATTCGAGGGCGCGAAGGTATTTGCGCTTCGCGGTTCGGCTACGATTCCGCATCCTCCTCTTCTTTGGGGGGCGGCGCGAGAGCGCGAAGTTATTCGCGCAGCGCGAATCGCGCAGTTAGGCGCGATTGCTTTGCGCTGGGCCACCAGCGTACTTCGAAAGTGGCGACCGTCCCGCAGCTCGGAGCCACCCAGGGGTGGTCCAGGGGGTGGTGAGGTCAACTGCGTCACTGCGCTAGGGTATAACACCCCGTAGGGCGTCACTGCGCGGGACCCCCCAGCAGCGCTCCAAAGCGGCGGCTCTTCGCATGTTGCAGCCCCCCAGAGACGGCGAATTTCAATATGAATCCGCGTAGGGCGTCAATGCGTTGTCCCCTCCCCCCAGCAGCCCTCGAAAGCGGCGACCTCTTCACAGCCCCCAGGGGCGGCAAATTCGAATTGGCATCCGTGGGGCGTCGCAGACAGCGTTCGACAGTGGCGGCCGTCTCGCAGTTCGCAGCCGCCCTGGGGATGGCGAGGTCGAACCATATTCCCCGTTGTGGCGTCACTGCTTGTAGGCCCCCCAGCAGCCTCCGAAAACGGCGGCGGCTCGCAGTTTGAAGCCTCCCAGGGACGGTGAACTTTACCATGAACCCTAGTCGGGCGTCATTGCGTTGGGCCCCCCAGCAGCCGTCGAAAGTGGCGACCGTTTCGCGGTACGCTCCCACGGACGGCGAGGTCTAGCTTGCATGCCCGCAGGGTGTCTTTGTGTTGCACCCAACACACACAGACACACACACACACACACACACACACACACACACACGCACGCGCACAAACACAGGCGCACAGACACACACACACACACCTTTACACACACACACACGCGCGCGCTCGCACACGCGCACGCGCACGCACACGCACACGCACACGCACACGCACACGCACACGCACACGCACACGCACACGCACACGCACACGCACACGCACACGCACACGCACACGCACACGCACACGCACACGCACACGCACACGCACACGCACACGCACACGCACACGCACACGCACACGCACACACACACACACACACACACACACACACACACGCACGCACGCACACGCACACGCACACACGCACACACACACACGCACACACACACACACACACACACACACACACACACACACACACACACACACACACACACACACACACACACACACACACACACACACACACACACACACGCACGCACGCACGCACGCACGCACGCACGCACACGCACATTCGGCAGCCCTCGAAAGTCGCCGAAGCCCTTTATGATATGGTGGGGCAAGAGGCAGGTAGGAGGTCACAGCCACGAGGCAGGAGGAGGAGGAGGGAAGCGGGAGGACGAGGACGAGCAGGACAGAGACGAGGAAACGGAGACGCGACCACCACAGTTCTTCAAAACGAACGAGATATTTGATGTTGTGCCTCTTCAGGACATCTTCGGCGACCTCTCGGGGCCCGCTTTGGGCATTTTATTGCGAAGGCCTTACGGCCAGTGCCGCCGACCTTGAATGACGACGACGACGACCGCTCTCGGGGCCCTCTTGGGGGTAGTTAGAGGGCCTCTTGGGAAGCTCTTGGGAGCTGCTTGGGAGCCTCGTGGGGGCCTCTTGGGGGGCTTCTGAGGGGCCTCTGGGGGCTTCCTTAGAGCTTCTCAGGCCGAGGGATCGAAATGTCCGTTCGGGTCCCCCGTCTGGGCTCCCTCTTGGAGCCGTTTTGTGAGCCTCCTCGGCTGTCTTAGAGGCCTCTTGTGCGGTCTTGGGGCCCTCTTGGGTCGGTGTGGAGCTCTCTTGGAGGCCTCTTGAGCCATCTTGGGGCGGTCTTGGATGCCTCTTGGCCTGTCTTGGAGCGACGGGAAGCTGGCAAGGCGAGAATGCTGAAATCTTTCAAAGGCTTACGGATCATCTACGTTTCTACGTTTCTTGCCCCTTGGGGCCGTCTTGGAAGTCCTTTTGAGCCGTTTGGAGGTTCCTTTGGCGACTTGGAAGGATACTTTAGCGGTTCGGGGCCCTCGAAGACCGTCTTGGGGACATCTTGGGGCACGTTTGCAGCGTTTTGGAGCATTTCTGCGCCCCCCAACCGCCCGTGGGGGGAGTTGTATCTGCCCCTGGACCCCGCTGGGACCCCCCCCCCAGGACCACCCCCGGGACCACCCCCAGGACCCCACCACCCGGATTCCCCCCCCCCACGGGCGGGGAAGGGATCGAAGGGAAGAGGCTTTCGGTCGACTCAACTACAACGTTGCTCCATTTCGCTGTGGCTGGCGCGCTCGAGTCAAACGGAACAACCTCTTCCACACGCCGACAGGATCGGCGCATTTATGGGCCTCGTGGACCGTGTTGAGGCCATACTGGGCCATCCTGCGACCCGCTTTGTAGCATCAGAAGGCCTGCTTGGGCAGTTCTGGGACCGTTGGGAGGCCGGCGGATTAGTATTGTGGTGGTTGTGTTGGGGTACAGTAAGAGTACCGAATCTGCGAGGTGCGGCAAGCGGGAGCACGGCTTTTCAGAGCTGAGCCGTCGCGGGGGCGCATTCTAGAACAAGGAGTTCACGTCAAGTCGGATTCCAAGGCGAACGTGCCGACGTGTCGAGCGCGGCCTGGCCCTCCCTTGACCTTGTTTGGACGCGGCTGAGGGATGGCTGGGGCCAGGCTGTTCTCCGGGGTCCTTCGACCGCCTGCGGAATCAGGGGCATTTGTGGGCATGTGCGAGGGGGCGGAGGTGCCCGCGCCGCCTCGCGCAAAGGTGCACAGGCGGGTGGTCATCACAACGCGGGCATGCGCGGGCACGCGCGGCAAGAAACAACATGAGAAGTAGAAGCGGTCTTCAAATGAATATATGAAAATGAGCTCTGTGCACGCGTATCAGGAAATTGCAGTGATACTTCAGCCCGAAACCAGGGTGTCCCACGTCTGCTGCTATCTGCCACGGTCGTTTGATATTGTAGTGACCTCTTGCCAGTGCCGCTTATTCGGGTCGTTCCCGACAGTGCTCGGGTTCGTTTGGAGGCTTATGGGGCCGTCTTGGGCCCTCTTGGCGCTGTCGTAGGAGGAG